GGGCCCTACAGTGTTGCACATGTGCCGAGGCAGGCAGGGGGATCCTTTAATTTCCCACTGCTGGCCCATGCAAACCTGGCCTTGCTGTGTGCATTCCTGGCCAGTGCACAGAAGCAGATTGTTCCTTCAAAGAGCAGGCTGTGTGGAGCGTTGCTGCGTGTTACCATGGTAACATTCTGACACAACTTGCGAGAGAAGAAGAGTGAAAGCCTGCAGTCAGAGGAGTTGCAGGCTGAAGGTCCGGTGCCACCATTGGACCACCAGGGATTGCAGTGTCCCCACCTGGCCAAAGGTAAGGGGGGGGGGGGGCATAAAGCTTTTTTTCTTCTTTTTTAAATAATAAAAAAATAAACACTTTGCTCCCTTATCACCCCCCCCCCACACACAGTATAGACCATATTCACACACTGCACCCCCTCACACACAATCCACCCCTGCACACACTGCACCCCCTCACACACACACTGCACTCCCTCACTCACATGCTACACCCCCCTCACTCACATACTGCACCCCTCACACATACCACTCTGCACCCCCTCACACACACACCACACCCTCACACACACACACACTGCACCCTATCACACACTGCATCCCTTCACACATACTGCACCACACCTCACACACACACTGCACCCCCTCACACAAATCACACTGCACACCCTCACACACACAACACTCTGCACCTCCTTACACACACACCACCCCCTCACACTGAACCCCCTCTCTCACACACACGGAACACCCTTACACACACCACTCTGAACCCCCTCACACACACCACTCTGCACCCCCTCACACTGAACGCCTTTAGACATACCACTCTGCAACCCCTCACACACTGAACACCCTTACACACACTACTCTCCACCCCCTCAAACATACATTGAACCCGCTCATAAAAATCACTCTGCACCCCCAACAAACACACATATGGCTGTCAAGACCTGCCCGCTATTTACTGTATTAAAAACGAGGGGTGGGGGATCTAGATCAAGGCACAGGGATAATATAGTGATAGGAATACAGGCCTGTACTCCTAACACTACAATGCTCCTTTCATATATTCTGTAGCACTGTGCAATGGATGGACAATCCCTTTCTCCCAACACTGGAAGATACGAATGAGAGATGGTGGGGTGAACCAGTCAGTGGTGTCATGTGAGTCACTGACCACCTGAAAAGGGGGCGTGTCAAGCTGTCAGCCATGGTAACCAGCCCAATTTAGGACAGAACACGTGCACCGAGCAGATAGCTGGCAGCGTCTCATATCAATGTTCTTCAAGCATATTACATTTTGCATGTGTAATTTGGGCATGTAATGTATTGTGGTTTAGTTTTTACACCCCTTTCCAACCTCCCATTGTAGCTTGGGTGTGTTTGGTATACAGCTTGTGTTATTTGCCTCTTATTCCACACTGTCTCGAGCTTTTTAAAAAATATATATATATATATATTGAACTAACAGTGCGGTACTTATGTCTTAAGCAACTCCTCTTTATTCACCTCAAAAAACGTGCTGTGATATGAAATGCCATACATTTGTTAATCCATATTAAAGAAATTGCTTGCACTAGCTATTGTGGCACTGCAAGCCTGTCTGTATCACCTATGCACAACTAAAATAAAGAATAAATACATTTAAAAAATCAGAGGCTTTTAATAAATAAATAAATCAGAGGCTTCTTGGTTTCTCAGGGAACTCAGTATTAGACAGGTCAGTCATTTCAAAAAAGTTTCTGCCTTTTTAACCTTTTCCATTTGGGATTTTTTTGCACATAACACAGATTTTTGCTTATACTGTACCCTTCATCCTTCTGGACTAGAAGACCAATCCTGTAGGTGATCGGTTTATTTTTCGCAGGTATGATAGCCCTGCAAAGCTTTACCTTTGCCTCATATACCATATCACAAGTACTAAATGTTTATTGCTCAAAAAGCTGGCTTAGTGGATGTAATACATACAGGGAGCGGCCCAAAGCAAGAAGTTAAACGGCTTTAAAACAGTTTAATTACTTAAAATGGGGGGTTGGGGGAGAGTGCTCAAGGGAACTCATGGAACCATAACCACTACAATGCAGTCAGTATAGTGCTTTATGGGTTCCTTTAACAAATGTGCTTGTGAGGTCTGAAAAATAAATGTAGAAATCCACTTTTTTCTATCCTTGAACTGAGCGCCTTTATCTTGGCTTGTAGTCAATCAATGTTATGAGTTCTGCGCTTCTCCTGTCAATCAGGAAAGAGAGAGCAAAGAGACAGGAATATAAACAGACCACAGGGGGCGCGGGGCCTGATAGCCGAACAGGCCAGACGTGCTTACCGAGTGCTCTGGCAAAACCGAGCTTAATCAAGGCTTTTAAAGGCCTAAACGTGACTCCTGCAGCTCCACACAAATGTGGCTAACAGAGGAATTGAGTGGGAGCCCGTGGAAACCTGATCCAGGTCTCTCCGTAGAGATTTACCACACTCTGCATTTGAGACCTAGCATGGAAGGCGGCCTCGTGGCCGGGAGAGGCGGCCAGTTTCCCAACACGGGGACCGCACCGAGCAGCAACAAGCATGAGACCCCACAACCCCCCCCCTCTGGACCGGTGGGGGTCATCCCGGTCCCCGCTGGGCAAGGTTACTCACCCACAACAGACGAATCTTCTGCTGGAATTAAAGGACCACTCTAGGCACCCAGACCACTTCAGCTTAATGAAGTGGTCTGGGTGCCAGGTCCTTCTAGGCTTAACCCATTTTTTCATAATTATAGCAGTTTCAGAGAAACTGCTATAATTATGAATGGGTTAAGCCTTCCCCCTAATTCTCTAGTGGCTGTCTCATTGACAGCCACTAGAGGCGCTTGCGTGCTTCTCACTGTGATTTTCACGGTGAGAGCACGCCAGCGTCCATAGGAAAGCATTGTAAATGCTTTCCTATGAGACCGGCTGAATGCGCGCGCAGCTCTTGCCGCGCGTGCGCATTCAGCCGACGGGGAGGAGAGCTCTCCGCCCAGCGCTGGAAAAAGGTAAGTTTTAACCCCTTTCCCCTTCCAGAGCCGGGCGGGAGGGGGACCCTGAGGGTGGGGGCACCCTCAGGGCACTATAGTGCCAGGAAAACGAGTATGTTTTCCTGGCACTATAGTGGTCCTTTAAGAGCGTGCAACAAGGTTAAAATGGCCGCCGAGCCACAACTACCACAGCCTCAAGAGGGCCTGACAATCCAAGCGTGGAGAGAGCACTTCGAGGCGCGGTTCGATCAGATCTGCGAGGAGTTCTGGCAGCGCCTAGAACACAGACCTCCCCTGCATGCCTTACCTGCTAAACAGGAGAAAGCAGCCGAATCAGAGGGCCACAGACCCGACTCTGGAACGGGCGAACACGGAAAGGCACGTCCCTCACGCCACCAGAGCGGCTGGAAGTATGCCCAGCTAACAAAGCACACTGGGACCCGTGCCCAAATCAAGTGGAAAACAAAGACCCTTCGGGGCGTGAGACAGGCTCCCCTTTACTCCCGTGAGCGAAAGGATAACTCCAACTGGCAGTCTTGTGGCGCCGGTAGATCATGGGCTCAGAAAACAACCAGAACCAAGCCTGAACACACATGGGCCATATGGAGACTCATGGAGGGACATCAACAACAAGTTTATCATGGACACAGCAAGTATTCACTAATGATACCTGAAACAGGCATAGGCTGACAGTCCCCCTACATGCAATTCATAGCCCTCAGTCTGTTTGCATTATTTACTCTTATTTGCTTTAATTTGCATTCACTCTGGCGACATCAAGATACCTGTCTCTTATCTTACCACCCAGTGGACTCTTGTCTTTTGCATTATACAGTGTGGCATTTGCATCCCACCTGTCACCCTGCCACCCCACCTGTCACCCCCCTCACCCTGCCACCCCACCTGTCACCCTGCCACCCCATCTGTCACCCTGCCACCCCACCCCACCTGTCACCCTGCCACCCCACCTGTCACCCCTCTCTCACCCTGCCATCCCACCTGTCATTTTACTTCACCATGCCACCCCCTGTCACCTATTCTCACCCCACCTGTCACCCCCTCTCACCATGTCACCCCCTAATCCTGTCACCCCACCTCCAACTCTGTCACCCACCCTGTGTCACCCCCACTATGTCAGCCCCCTTACTCACCCAGTCACCCCACTCACCCTGCCACCCCACTCACCCTGCCATCCCCCATCACCCTGCCTCACCACCTGTCACCCTGACACCCCACTTGTCACCCTGCCATCCCACCTGTCACCTCCCTCTCACCATGCCACCTCCTGTCACCACTTCTAATCCCACCTGTCACCCCCTCTTACCCTGACAACCCACTTCTTACTCTGTCACCTCACCTCTCACCCTGCCACCCCACTTGTCCCCCCTCTCTCACCCTGCCACCCCACCTGTCACCCCCTCTCACCCCACTTCTCACCCTGTCACCCCTCACTCACGCTGTCACCCCACCTGTCACCCCCTCTCACCCTGCCACCCCACATCCCTCACCCACTCTCACCATGCCACCCCACCTGTCACCTCCCTCTCACCCCTCACCCTGTCACCCCACTTCTCACCCTGTCACCCCACTTCTTACTCTGTCACCCACCCTGTGACCCCCCCACACTATATCACCCCCCCTTACTCTGTCACCTCACTCTATCGCTCCCTACACACTAGGTCACCCCACACTTTCACCCCCTCACACTATGTCACCCCTCTTATTCTGTCACACTCTGTCACCCTCCCTCTCACTATGTCACCCCCCACATTGTCACCCTCCCTCTCACAGTAGGTCTCCCCCCTCTCACACTAGGTCTCCCCCTCTCACACAGTCACACCCCTCTCACACTATGCCACCCCTTCACACTGTCATCCCCCTACATTATGTCACCCTCCATCACACACTAGGTCTCCCCCCCTCACACTCTAGGTCACACCCTGTCACCCTCCTCTCACCCTGTAACCTCTCTTACTCTGTCACCCACCTTGTGACCCCCCAAACTGTCACCCACCCGTACTCTGCCACCTCACTCTGTCGCTCCCTACACACTAGGTCACCCCACCTCACACTTTCACCCCCTCACACTATGTCACCCCTCTTATTCTGCCACACTGTGTCATCCTCCCTCTCACTATGTCACCCTCCCTCTCACTATGTCACCCACCCTCTTACTCTGACACCCCCCTCTTACTCTGACACCCCCCTCTTACTCTGACACCCCTCCTTTTACTCTGTTACCCACCTTCACTATGTCACGCTTCCTCTCACTCTGTCACCCCCCTTACACTAATGTAACCCTCTCTCACTATGTCACCCCCTCTCACACTAGGTCTCACCCTCTCACACGGTCACACCCCTTCTCACCCTGTCACCCCCTCTTACTTTGTCACTCACCCTGTGAACCCCCACACTGTCACCCACCCGTACTCTGTCAATTCACTCTGTCGCTCCCCACACACTAGGTCACCCCACCTCACACTTTCACCCCCTCACACTATGTCACCCCCTCTTATTCTGTCACCCTCCCTCTCACTCTGTCACCCCATCACACTATGTCACCCACCCTCTTACTCTGACACTCCCCTCTTACTCTGTTACCCACCTTCACTATGTCACCCTTCCTCTCACTCTATCACATCCCTTACACTAATGTAACCCTCACACTCTGTCACCACCCCTCACACTCTGTCACCACCCCTCACACTTTGTCACCCCCCACACACTCTGTCACCCCTCTCGGCACACACTGACACCCCTCCATACACATTGTCACCCCCCTCCATACACACTGTCACCCCCCTCCATACACACTGTCTCTCCCTCCAAACAGACAGGCACCACTCTCCGCACACACAGGCACCTCCCTTCATTCTCATTGTCAACCCTCAACACTCTGGCACCCACCTCCAAACACTCTGGTACCCTCCTGCTCTTTTACACTCACCCTGCCACAGTTACCCCTTTACTCACCCTGTCACCCCTGAAGGCAATAATTATACACACTGTCATAAAACATAGCTTCGCCATAAACTCAGTGCCAAAGGCCACAGGCAGTACACAAACATACACATGCTCAGAGAAACATACATACATATACAAGGATCCTCACTGCCAG